ATTATGTATTTTGATACAAATTCAGAAATCTTTATCTGTTAATTATTTACCCCCTTTACCTAATGTATATTTACCCTCTACTACATGTTGCTCCTTAATATTTTCCTTTGTGCACTGTAAACTATATAAAACTATATACCGTTTTCTTACCCATTTTATGTTGTTTACTTTAATCTATAAACTTCAATGAAAACACCTCCTGAATAATAGTCGCCTTATACAGTAGCATGCCCACACTTCTATCAGCCACTTTAGCTCATCCCCTTAGCCTATGAACTCGAGAATTGGTGGGACTGGAGCAGAACAGTAGATTAAACCAACCCACCTTTATCCCTTAATTATTCAGGAACACAATGAAGAATAGCGCGAGAAAAACTGCTGCTGGTTTAAACAAACCAACTATTATCTACTCCATTACAAATATTTACAAAGAAGCAGCTTGAAGAGCAAAATAACAAAGGTACATTTGTGTGACAGCCGCTCGACGACTACAATCATGCAGGTACACAGGGATTCAAATAAGAGCTAGTAGCGCAAGAGAGCGCGGTATGTCTCAGAGAAATTTGCATTATCTGACTCGTAATAAAAAGGAAAAGTCTCACCACAAGGTCAGTCAACAATCATCACGCCACCAGCACTCAGCTTATATATCGTAGTACTCACAATAGTACATATTAAAACACAAAGTACACTCGAGGAATGATGGGAATGCCCGTGCTTTGTGTTGGGACCCCCTACGTGTATTGTTATCATAAAACAAAGGTAGGAGTAACACTAATCTCATTCTGGAGGATACGAGAATGTGTTTCCCGCTGCTAAGTAACACTTTGAGTTCGCACTAGTGCTAACGATCAGGAAAAACGCAGGATCACCAGGTTAATCGTCTCGGACTACTATGAATGTACATCGGTAGAGCCCATCCCCATACTACTGCTGGAGTGTCATTCAGGTGTGGGTGTCGACTGCACCAACACAGTACCAACTCTTCCATCGCAGAGCCCTGCTGCTAGTCATGGCTGCTGACCAGACCCTGCCAACACAACGGCAGTACATGTTGTCAGCTAGCAGACACTAACATGACAGCTCAACCTTAGCACATAAACATCACTTTCGGACCACAGCAGCGACAATTATTAAAAAGAATATTGTCACTATAGCTCACTAAGAAATTAAGCCCGGACAAACACAGTCTTGAAGCTACAAGTCAGGCCAAAAGTGCTCAGAAATTGTCGGTACAGTCGAAAAGCTGCAAACAAGAAATACAGATAGTTTTGTGGAACAGGGCAAAGCTAACCGAGTCATCTTGAAACAGATGACTGTGTGGCTATTATATACAGTCTCTGCAGACTTATACTCAATCTTCCTGTGGATAATCTGTACTACTGACGACCTGTGTCTCTTTCACGCGTGTCGGTCACTTAAATGACACATGCTTGCGACATTGGTGCTATTTGTATTGTTGGCCTTCATTAATATAGTCCTGAAAAATCGTAGTCCTCGGAGTGTTGTAAGGACTAGTGGCTATGAAAAACCTCTAATGAGACCAGGCACTATTGCTCTTTGCATATGTAGGAGAGAGGTGGTAGGACATTGTATTGGTACTGCTTCGCAGTGGGTACTCGTATAATCTACAACAAAAATCTGTTTTGGATCCATCCAGTCTTTCTATTGTACATTCTTATTTATAATATAAATCAATAATAATTCATTACTCTGGTCTTGCAAGTGATGAACCAACAGTACAACAGAAAGTGTTTTATATATTAGTGAGTAATTAGTTTTTTGCTCATTGAGTTTCCCTTCTTCCTTTCAGATGTGTACATTAACGGTATATGTTCTGGGCCGGGCATGTTTTGCTTTAAGCTGCCAAAGGAAATGACTGCAAAATGGAATTCAGATTAGATAGCAGATCTTCAGTCTTTTTGACCAAAGGGACGATTTATTCTTAAATTGCTGCTGTCATTTTCATTGTAAGTCACACGGTCCACTTACATGTGGACTGCAGGAATGCCCGAGCCATTTTCCAGGTGCTTACCTCAGAAATGTTTGGGCTTTTCTTACCCTTTATTTCATGGTGCCAGTTTCATTTAATTGTTACCAAACTTTGAAAAAGTAAAAGCACATCCGCTGGAAAATACACATTTCTGTTATTTCATGAAGAAACAAAAAACAGGGCGACGTGTGTTGTATTTAACACCACTGAAATGATCCTGTATATTTCCCACAAAGATGCTTGGAAATTACATTTTAGCACTTGAGGCACACACACAGGATGTTGCTCTCCATCTTTTGATACTGTATGGCTTTCATGTTGAGTGACTTGAATTTTCAGTGCAGCTGATGCTCGAGGGGAGGAAAGTTTGATATCTGATGTCCAACTTTTGTTTAGAGGTTGGAGTTCTTACGAGCTGCGACAGTGTGTGGCTGGTGTTGTTTTCACCTTGTAACCTTGTGTGTGTGTGTGTGTCATTGACACCTACTGTAGCAGGAACTACCACAAGAGGTGGTTTTGAGACTTCAGCAGGTGTTTATGCATCTGTCCTGTCTGTGGACAGATTTGTCATCATGTTTAGCGCCACAACGGTTGCAAGATACAGTCACAAAACTTTAAAGTATGTAGCTGATATCCAAAATGAGGCATAGTTCAGATGCCCCGGGGGCTCACCTGAGTAAGGAGCATCCCCTGAAGGCTCAAGTCCTTACTGCAGCAGCCCGGTCCAGTTCGGCCCGAGGTCCTTTGCTGTATATCATCCCCTCTTCTCTCTGTCCCTGCAACCTTCCTGTTTCTGTCCCACTGCAAGCTACAATAAAGGCAAAAAAATAGGCCTTGTTCAAAGAATGAGAGGGTGGTATATTATAATTATATATTATCAGAATGTAAAATACATGGCTGCAAATGTAACCTAATCCTACTCCAGACGTGTGAGGTGATCTGTGAGCTGTTCTTCTCATGAGTCCATTGATGCTCAGGACTTCTTTATAAATCCCTTTGTAACTCTTATAAATAAAGATAAATAAATCTGTTAACACATACAGTATGAGTACAGTAGCCTACAGAGTAAATTAAGATTAAGATTAATTAATCAAAATGAGTCCATCTCATGTTTTGTTTAATATCAGTTTTGCTTGACTTATGAATTCACTGCACGGTTACCACACAGCCTCACTGTCCAGCCAGTGTGTGCTGGGTTATCAGATGAATTCATTTGTGACCCTCATAATTTATTCATTGTACATATTTGTGATGTCACAACAAATCAGTCACCACTCTCAGCCACGCCACAAGCCCCGCCCACCTGCACCCAGCGTCCAACCTTGTAGGATTTGGTTTCTCTGAGTGTTTACCTGAAATCTGCTATTTTTTATTTTCATTTAACTTTTATTTAAGTCTGGGATTGGCTTATCAACCTGTTGTTGCTACAGCTCCAGAGAGAAGCCTGAGAGAGGAGATGTAAAACTACATTGAGATGGTTTTTGGTTCTTAAAACCACAAAAAAATAAATATCACCACTTCAAATAAAACACTGGAAAAGTGGAAAATATGTGACCTTTAAACAGCTTGAGCACACCAAAGTGCTGTAGAATGGAAATTAGAATAAATAAAAGTAAGTAAAACAATAATGTATTGAAATACGTAAAAACAAAAGGAAACTAACAAAACAAAAAGGCCAGTGAATAAAACTGTTTTAAGCTGAGATTTAAAAAATAGAGATGGAGGGAGCACGTCAAATTAAAATACTACTAATAAAAAGAGGACACCTAACACCATGGGGGCAATGCCTCACATTGTTCCGACACAATTTAACTTGAATTTACAAGAACAGGGAAATATGTCGAGTGTGTGGATATGTTTTTGTTTCTCTAACCCAACCATGCAACACACCACTGACCCCACAGGGAAGTGGATAAGGAAAAACCATTAGTTAAAAAAAGACATCCTGTCCCACAGTAAACGTCAGCGCAGAGATTAAGTTTGTACTGTACATCCACTTATCCTCAACTGGAAACAGACCAAACTGTGACCAGCTGACGATTATTATAAGCAAGTATCTGCTTTTATTCCTCCGTGATGGCCTGTCAGCCAAAACACATTGAACTCCGAGACATTGGCCCCGGGGCCCCGAAAACACGAAGAGATTTCCTATTTAAGAGGAGGGGCATTTCCTCACTGTGTGAAGAATGTGAACAGCAGGTTGCTGATGGCAGGCAGCGAGATGAGGCTTTATTACAGCAAATAAACACACACCCACACACACACACGCGCTTTAATGTGTCATAGTGACTGTGCGTGCCTGTCCATGCAACACATGATTAATACAGGAGCTTCCAGGCAGGGTTGAAAGAACTGAAATTATATGTATAAAAGAACATTAACTTCTTTAGATGAACCACTGTGTGTTTAACTATGTGTGAAATGTGTGTGTGTGTGTGTGTGCGGGGTGGGGGGGACCTGCTCTGCTCTGCTCTGCTCTGCTAGTTGCTCCTTGCAGTGGCAGCTGTTGTGCAGTAGCCATTAGAGTGATATTTCCTCTGAGCCTGTCCAGTGATAACAACACTGCTCCACGCTGAGACTGGATCATCAGCACTGAAGACACAATCTGAAATGCAGCCTTGAGCACCATTTAATATAGTGTAGTGGGGTCTCCAGCTGTCGCCTAACATTATTTCTTTGCACTTCTGCGTCTGAGGGATTGAGGAGGAGAGAGGGAAGGCTGGTGTACAGAGAGAGAGAGAGAGAGAGAGAAATCAGGGTCAGAGGCGCTATCAAAAGCTGCCACTGCATTTGAAATTTTCATTTTGTTGGTCCTTCGCGTTATTGTTGGTTTCCGAGGTGAAACATGAATGGACAAAGTGGCGATTGCTCCACTCACTGAATGGCTGTGCGTCATCGCAGCAGCGCCAATAGCGAGAACGCCTCCTGCGCTGCCAAATATTAAAGCTGCTCTCCTCCGACTTCCACACACTGAACCTGTTTTACTCCGGGTCATCAATGTCTGCTCAGTCGTATTTTCAGTTTTTATGCTTTCACGTTTAAAAAAAAAGAAGGCGCAATGGATTTAAACTTCACGCTCCTGGGGCGCGATTTGTCCGGCTGGGGCGCGCTGGCGCAGAGACTCTTTGGGAATAACTCACTGTCCCCGTTTGATAACAGCACTGCCGCTTCCAAAACGGACGAGGAAGACTTGGAAGTCAACACGGATGTTTACTCCAAGGTGATAGTCACTGTCATCTACGTGGCTCTGTTCGCTGTGGGCTCTCTGGGGAACTCCGTCACCCTGTACACACTGCTGACCAAAAAGACCCTGCAGAACCTCCAGAGCACCGTGCACTATCACCTGGCGAGCCTCGCCGTGTCCGACCTGCTGATCCTCGTCCTCTCCATGCCCATCGAGCTCTACAACTTCATCTGGTTCCACCACCCGTGGGTATTCGGGGATGCGGTGTGCAGGGGTTACTACTTCCTCCGGGACAGCTGCTCCTACGCCACCGCGCTGAACATCGCCAGCCTGAGCGTGGAGCGCTACATGGCCATCTGCCATCCGTTCAAAGCCAAGAGCATCATGTCCCGCAGCCGCACCAAGAAACTCATCAGCGCCATGTGGCTCGCCTCCTTCGCGCTCGCCACGCCGATGCTCTTTATCATGGGCCAGGAGACGCGTAAAGGCGAGAAGATATGCACCGCTATCGTCTCCCCCGTCACCATGAAAACTGTTCTTCAGGTGGGTGTGGATGAAGTTTTGTATCGCTGGTTTGTTTAGGCTACAGGTTTTTACGCACGCGTCTCCATCGCTGCTCTTTACGCACCGACACGGATTCAAATGCAAATGTTAATATAAGACTCTGGAGTCCTCGGCTAGTAGTAGCCTACATAAGGAGAGTTTGTTTTTTTTGTTTGTTTTTTTGGTCTTTTTTTTATTACCGTGTCCATAGTTGTGCATATTGCGCTTGACAAACCATGCGGTTTTACGCGCGAATGTGTCTCTAGAATTCCTGTCTGTGCATCTGTTGAGTTTCACTGGAAACTAAAACAAGAAATTAAATTATAGCCTCCGCAGAAATGTATTATTTTTAATTTATTAACCTATTTATGCTTAATTCAATATAATAAAACAAATTAAGCCAGCGGGTTGTGAGTAGATCCATTTCACTGCAGGTTAATTTCTTCCAGGAAATGAACAGGGCAGACTCGAACCAACATCAACATCATTGCGCTTGTTTCAGTTTAAATTAATCAAACAGGAAATTATCAGATCCTCAGTTTTCATTTTCAGATAGAAAACATTGGTTGTGGGAGAAAATCTCTGGAATCACAGGGAAACGATCATAAAGAGCTAGAGCAGAGCGAACAAGCTGACAGCTACATGCAGGGTGCTGTACAGGTGTGATGTTTGATGTTTGAGTGTCCTGTTGGCTCAGTTGCTTTTTATATGTGATTAATCTATTAATCGATCATCAATCAGTCATTGAAGATAGTGTTTTCAAGAAAAAAAATTTATGGTTTCAGCTTCTTAAATGTGAGGATTTGGCTTTTGGACTGTAGCCGCAGTTAATGCCTGTTAAAGGTCACACTTTTCCTGAGTTTCATTTGAAGCGCTGATATCCATAAGACAATATATTTCTGGTTTTAAGAACCAAAAACCATCTCAATGTAGTTTTACATCTCCTGTCTCCGGCTTCTTTCTGGAGCTCTAACAACAGGTTGGTGGCTGACTGCTTTGATTAATCTAATAAAAAAATATGTCAGATTTCAGGTAAACACTCTTAGAAACCAAATCCTGCAAGGTTGGATGGTGGGTCCAGGTGGGCGGGGCTTGGTGCATGACTGAGAGCAGTGAGTGCTTTGCGGTGACATCACAGATCTAATGATCTGGATGAAATGGATGATAAAATGTCTCCTAAGTTTCCTAAGTTGCAACTCTTCTTCCTTATCCAAACAAAGATAGCAGTCAGAAATAACGATTAGTGAAAGCACTTTGTAACTACCTCAAGAAAAGAAAAGTGCTATACAAATGAAGTTATAACAACAATGATCAAAAAATCAGGGACGTGTCATTTCTTGCTGCTCACTCCTGTTGTAAAGAGTTTAAAAATAATTGTCTTTGTGCAGCAGACTGAATATTTTCTTTCTTTGAGGGTTTTAGAAATACCTTTAGAGCAGCCTTGTGGGTGTTTCAGAGGAGGTATTTATCTTATAGAAAATGTGATGCTTTGAGCTGAGTAACATGAATGTAATGATGATACATAGGCACAAACTGGGGCCACTTGAACTCTAGGAAATTGTGAGGGGCAATTTTATTTAACATTTGTTTTGACATTTCACAGACCAAATGATGGACGAATTCATAGAGAAAATAATCAGTAATGGAAATTAGTCATAGGTTGCAGCTCTTCAGTATGTGCTTGTTAAAGAGACATATGGCTCAATGAGTCATCAGCAAGTGTGTGGGTGAGAAACAAAGAGACAGACATGCATAATACTCTGAGCACCCCCCCCATTTCTCAAGGCTGTCCCTGCTGCTCCCCAAGATGAATGGTGCTGCTCTGCAGGTCGTGGGTCGTATAAATGATTAGGTCAATCCCCCCGGCTTTGTTTACAATGAACATACTTGGCGTTGACTCGGAAGGCCGGCAGAGTTCTTGGTGTTGTGATTTTGCTCTGCGAGAAACTGGAAATAATTAGGCGAGGTGTTTGATGGACGCTTGGCGTGACACAAAAGCAGGAGGGGATGTGACACCATCATCATCATCATCATCATCATCATCATCAGTATCATCTGCCTCTGCGTTCGCCGTGTCTGGCTTTACTCTCGCCTGCTTTTTGACAGCACAGATTTTGTCCCTGTTTGCCTTTATGTGTCTTCTTTTGTGTGTGTGTTTTCGCCTCCCCTATTCATCACTCCTGCATGACGATAACTAACTGAAGCAGTGCCAAGGTTAACAATTCTTATCTTCTGATGCTTTCTTTGAGTATATTGGCATTCGTGAACCAGCCTGCCACAAATAGTCTGGAGAAATTTTCCCACACTCGAGATCTTCCCCTATAGAAATCACATAAGACATTGTGTTATTTTTTCCACTTAATGTAAAGAAAAGAACAACAAATAAATTGAGAGTCTGAAGAGATTATGTGACACACGCTGACAAAGAGGAAACAATCCAAATTCTCCCATAGCATTTTATAAGTGCATGTGTTTGTTTGTGAATGTACTGTACTGTGCATGTGTGTATGAAAGATGCAGTATGAGCTGGTCCGAGAGGCGACCTGCTGTCATGGAGGGTCCCCAAACACTCTGGCTGTTTTGACAACAGTGTGTGACACTGAAGGGGGAGAGTGCGTATGTGTGTGTGTACTTGTGTGAGAAAAGATGAGGAGGTCAGAGAGTGAGAGAGAGGCGGCGGCGGGGGGGGGGCTGATTATGCGTAGATTTATAGGAGGAGCATGGCACCAACACTACCTGGGTTAGGAGTTAAATTCCCACAGCAGGTAGCCAGCAACTGCAGTACTGTGAGTAAAACTGTACTCTAAACTGCAAACATGAATAATGCAAAACATCTGAAAACAATTTTAACCTCTTAAAACCTTCAAGGCCAGACTCTGTTGGGCTGTAGAAATGTTAGTTTTCTCGTTCTTTCAGTTTAAAGTGAGACTATGCAGCTGAACGTAGGCATGGCTTTACACTGACTAACAAAAGCCACAGCAACAGGCTGTTAGTTAGTTACCTAACACCTGAATATGTTCTTCTAATGCTACGATTGGTCTTCACACTCTATGGAAAATACAATCTAGTGGCTGCCTGTGTACTGCTTAGCTCCCCTGATAACATACTCTTTGTTTCTATGGTTTATGGTGGCTGGCAAGCTATGAAGTGAGTAACAACCGCCACCCACTGCTGTGGAGTGTATCACTGGTGTCTTTGACTTTGCATCAGAACCGTGGTTCATACATTGTTAATTGGGGACACGACGGTGCCTCTTAGTCCTGATATTTGGTCTTAACCGACCACTTTACAAAAAGTAGAATTTAGCGGCATAAAACAAAACACTATTTTGTTACTCGGAAATGTTAATGTTAATTATTTTTATTTCTTGCTGGGAGTGGGTAGTGGTGATTGTCGCTTGAGCTTCGACCATCATTGCATTTACGGGAGGTTATAATCTTCTGAGCCTCAGTGCTGCGTCTTCAATATTATATATATATATTATTGATCAATTAATCTTCTCAGCACATTTTCATGCAAATTTAGACTAAACAAGACATTTGGCAGTGCCACCATTGTGGCTGGCATCTTTAAAGTGTTGATCCATAAGAAGATATATTTGTTTATATTTTTTACATCTCCTCTCTCAGGGTTCTCTCTGCAGCTCTAGTAACAACAGGTCGGTGAGCCAATCAGAAGAGAGGAGGCTCTGAGCCTCTCTTCTGTGTACATTCATATGTGGACTGAACACTTTGATACTTACACAGTATTAATTTAACCATTAAAACCTGCTTTATAATCAAAAAAGAGATGGGAATCTCATTTTACACAAAATGGGGCCTTTAAAAGATTAAAAAATTAGTATATTAAGCAATAATTAAAACAACTGTTGGCTGTGGCCCTAGTCTGATGATGGCTTTCATACCAATGCGAAATTATCTGTACTAAGTAAAATTTTGAAGTACTTTCCATTTTATATTCTGACATTTCTACTGCCTACATTTTACAGTCTTATGGTTCACATTTTTACATAATGCACACAACGCAAGAATCCTCTTATTAACTCTGAATGTCTATTACTGACTGACGGTGTGGTGAGATCATCAACTAGTTTCATGTTTCAATATTTTAGAGTCAAGTGTTATTTTTCTTCATTCTAGAGAAGCTAACTCGTTTTTAAACTTTCTCACACTGATTTCTGGAAAATTCTTGAAACATTTTCTATTAACAATCTTCTACCACAGATGAAAATACAACTGTTACAAATGTTTTACACATCGTCACGTGTGTAAAACATCTACTGAGACACAGGGTGAGTGGATGAGGGAGGAAGTGTGGGTCTGAATGAGAGGCTGAAGGACTTAATGGGGAAGAGGATTTGGATTTGAGTTTAATTTCTTCAAAGTTGCAGGATTTGAGCAAAGTGACAGTGAGGTTAACTGACTGCAGCTGACAGTCAACTCAGATGTTTCCTGTACATTTAAATTTGACACGCTGTGGGTTTAGCCCGATGCTGCTGTGTGCCCTCACCTTGGCCTGTGTATCTGTGAGCTTGTCAGCTGTTGTTGCACTGAGTGATCTCCTGCTGTGCAGGAGTCTCCGCTTGGGTTGCACAGGATCATGTTGTTTGTGCAGCAGGATGAGTTTGTTTGAAGTGCAAACTGCAAAATTCAGCCAGGGGAGAAGGACATTTACGATAGGCTATTACTTTATTTCATTGTCTGCTGCATTGCAAATGCCCCTTCTCTATTTACACCTGCATGATGCAGTATAGTCTATTTTACACACTGTAGGCAGGTTTCATTCTCTTTGCATGAATCAACTGATGGTTCAACTCACATGTGACGTAAACATCTTGGAGAATTAGAAGAATGTCATTAGTATTGATATTTTTCCTTCAGTTGTAAGAATATTATAGGCTACTGACTCCCCCAATGAACTGGAGGACCAAACAAACTGCAGAAAAAACACAATCAGCATGATAAAAAATACTACGTTAGGCTCTTTAATTGTAATTTTGT